TGTATCACTGTTGTGTGTCACTGCTAGCTCAAAAGCCATGTCAGGGAGCATGTGTTCCTTCAGATGCGGTTGGGCTCCTGCTTCCATCAGACTCAGCCAGTATGGCCACAGGCTCCTCATCCCTTCTCTGTGCCACCAGAGAAGCTGATCACAGGAGAGAACTTCAACCATTTCAAGCCAGAACACTAGCAACACGGAGCAGAGTCCTCCTGGTCCTTTGAATCAGATAGTCACAGACAGCTGAGCCAAGCCACTGCCTGCTTTGTAACACCAAGTTCTGCTCCATTCATTTTGTATGGGCAAGTTTGTCTGGAGAAAGGGCTACTTGGGTACCTTTAATGGAACACAGGCAGGCAGCTTCCTTCTTTTCTAAGTACTTGCTGCCTCTCCAGGTTTTTTGGGGGGTAGGGTGGGGGTGAACCTTACCAGCACTTGTGCCTGGGTCAAGCTCCTAATTGGCCACTTTGCTATTCTGTGATAAAGCAGTGTTTGTGCTTGTCGTCTTGCAGTTGCCAGGCAACTATAGAACAAAGTCCTCATGTCACCTATAAGTCAACCTTGGAAGATTACTGAGTGGACTTCAATAAAAGCGAGTTTCTGGGAGCAGTGGGAGCACCCAGCAGAGAGCTGCTTAATGCCCCCCAAGGCTGACATCTGGTCCAAATGTCTTGTTTGCCTTTTGGGCACTTTGGCTCCATATGCATCTTAATTCAGCTTGTGCTCTTAAAATGTCCTCAATTATGTCAGATTGAACCTTGCAAAAACAGCGGGGTGTTAATGAGATTATTTGTAGAAATAAGGCTGACATGGTTCTCTCCCATAACACTAAACGGAAACACATTGTTTTTCTGGTTGATAGAAAAGCCCCTAAGTTTCATTTTCTAACTTTAATATGTATGTTGTTGCTTTGGGCAAAGTTTAGCATGCTTCCTAAAATATACATGGGGGCGACCTTCGCCAAAAAATAGCTAAATACACTACATGGAGTGGGTGATGTGCTTAGCGTTTTGCAGTCAATATTTCCCTCGCCCCTTGGGGCTGGATTTTTTGTGTGTGGTTAGACCAAGGGATTGTTTTTAAGATTTTATTACCAGTGTGGCGTAGTGGTTAAGAGTGATAGACTCGTAATCTGGGGAACCGGGTTCGTTTCCCCGCTCCTCCACATGCAGCTGTTGGGTGACCTTGGGCTAGCCACACTTCTCTGAAGTCTCTCAGCCTCACTCACCTCACAGTGTTTGTTGTGGGGGAGGAAGGGAAAGGAGATTGATAGCTGCTTTGAGACTCCTTCGGGTAGTGATAAAGCGGGATATCAAATCCAAACTCTTCTTCTTCTTCATATTGTGAGTTGATTTTATAATCATACAATTGCAGAGTTGGAAGGGGCCCCAAGGAGCATCTACTCCCACCCTCTGCAATTCAGGAATCACAGCTAAAGAATCACTAACAGATGGCCTTCCAACCTTTTTTTTTAAAAAAAAATCCAGTGAAGAAGAGCCCATCCCTTTCTGAGGGGGTCCATTTCACTGTTTAACAGCTGTTAATGTCAGAAAGTTATTCCTAATGTTTAGTTGGCATCTCCTTTCTTATCATTAGAATCCATTTAATTATCTTGTATTATGCTATTATTTGTAAGAAGCTTGGAGATACTGGTATAATGGAACACGTTCCTGGTGTTTTATTATACTTATCTGTAAGATGCCTCGCAAAGAGTCCTCCCTCCATTATTTGCATATTCTTCCATAAGCACACATTGATTTAATAGAAGGCATCACCCTGATATTTGGTACTTCACTAGGGACCAATCGGGCAGCCACATTCTGCACATAAACATACAGCAAATCCATTTTAGGAAGGATCTTTTGTTGCAGATGGCATGCGAGGGAGAAAGAAGAGCAAAGAAAATGCTAGATTTGTCTTAAAGGAAAGCAGGCGTTTTTACTGCCTCTTGAATCTTGAGACATCTGGCTAGCTCTAGAGGCAGTGAGGACATATTTATGCAATAGCCGTGATGGGCAGGCTCTCCCTCCATCCTTGCCCAGTTGGTATTGATTGGCTGTTTACTCTCATTAAGTGGCTGAGAAACGCAGCTACAGCCACTTGTCAGCAGAGGCTGCTCTGCTGCCCTAGTAGAAAACTAGGAACTGTATCCCTCCTGATAACGTTTCCTGAAAAACATTTCAAAACAATGCTACAGAACCTCAGGATCCAGAAGGCTCTGAAAGCGACGTCTTTATGTTAAGCAGGACCTGATATTTCTGAAATCAAGTTCCTAGTTTTCTTACAAGCACTAGTGTGATCCAGGAAGAGGCTATGCAGGCAGGGAGTAGCTTGGTTCTTAACAGCTGAGCTTACTATGGCCAGGGACAGATTTTTAGAGTTTCGCCTAAAGTGGTTTCTATTTGCTGCTAGGATGACAAAGTAATGCGCTACAGTTTTGCTTGGGGGCAGGGGCTTGTACCACTATAACACAATGTTCCACTCTATGTTCTCACAATTTAATTATTTGAATCAAATAAGATATATTTGTGGGTTTGTCAAAATAATGGAAGGAATATGCTTCTCTTGGCTAAAATCCTGACTAGTCCCTCTCTTTCTCTCTCTATACAGCAGGTTTGCTTATAAATAGCTTTTTAAAATAATAATAATAATACAGATAGCTTTTTGCTCAGCTGGGAGGTTACAAGTTAAGTTGCATAACTCAAAATGCATTCTTCATATCGCTTCTTATCTGCCCCTCTCTGCATATGACAAAACAATATATATGGATGCATATGGACTGAGAAATAATTCATGTTCAGTAGTTCAGTTAAGTAATTTTAGATTCTGGACCCAGTGCTTTTATGCCTCCCCAACCTCTTTAGATAGTAATGGGCATTACTTCAAATAGCATTTGTGTGTGAGTGGGGACCTCTTTAGATGGTCATGTTAATTACTTCAGTTAATTCTCAAAATGTAGTAAACCAGCCCCGCTGCTTTTTTGGGGGGGTAGTGGGGCTCCTGCTCATTTTGCTGAGTGGGACCCTGGAATTCTGCCCCCATTCCTGTCTGGAGAGCACTACCTTTCATGTCAACACAGGCACCCAGATAAAAGTTTTCCCACTATGGAGCTCTTTGCATGAACTGTACATTATTACTTTGAAGCTACTAAGATCTTCATGTGGGGGAAGGTAAAATATAGCTGAAGCTTCTGTTGTGGTTCTTTAGTGGTCAACCAGGAAAGGGAAGGGTGATGAAAAGCAAGAGATGCATGTCAAATTACAATGGCACACAGTGATATTTTTCTAGAAAAAGAACTCACAATGAACATCTCCTTTATTTTCTTAGGATGGCAATGGCACCCACCTGAGAGGTGCCAGAACTGAGTTCTGGCTGGGGGGAAAAAGCCCTGCCAACACATTTTATTTCTCCTGTTGCCAAACATATCTTTTCATAATTCCATCAGATTAGATGGCTGCTTGTTATGGGTCCGCATTCTAAGGGCTGAATGACACATATGTTCAGATTCGTATGGACATGAATGTATGAACCACCTCCATTGAAATGGAGGCACCTGACACTACTGAAATTCCCCTAAAACTAAGCAGGTTTGGCCCAAACTCACCTGGGAACCATGTGTAAGGTGTTCTGAATGCTTTGGAGCATGAACACAGCATAAGTGTAATAATGAGCTCCATCTGTGGTGTTTGTTGTGCGATTTCTCATTGTCGCATGAAGGCACCACATGATGATGCATCATTCACTATGCAGAGCCCATGCAGGCCAACTCAGGAGTAATTCCAAGTTAAATGATGCTTACTCTAGGACTTTTTTCCAGCCAAAATTCACAGGAACTCAGTTGCGGCACCTCTCAGGTGGGCTTGACCATTACCATTCTAAGAGAAAGAGGTAGGAGTTCGTGATGAGTTCACACACCTCTTTTTCTTAAAAAAAAAAAGAGCACTGCTCTTAGGCAAGAGTGGGCGTACATTTGCTGTCTTAATGACGCACCCACATGAATGCCCATCACCTCAAGACAGTCCTCAGGTAATGAGCATTCATGGGTAGTGGTTCAAACCCTGGGTTTAATTGGTGATCCAGCTGCACCCACACTTGTCGCCTGACCAAGTTTACACATCAGTGATGGGTTTGAAAGGCATCTCTCTCAAGACGCACACATATAAACAAACTGCACACAAATAACCCCACGGGACTGTGGGGGAGAATGGTGTCATCATGCCCACACTCCAAGGGGGCGTAGTGGTGACTGAAGGCAATGCTTCAGAGGTACTCAGCACCTAAGCTCAGGCATCACGTTGCATCCTCAGACACACCCCTGTATTAGGGAAGAGCGGGGGGAGGGTCAGGCTAAGGCAGAAAGGGGCGGAGCTTCTGTGCAGGTGAAGCATTAAAACTGGCGCGTGGCGCGTGAGGGGAAAACATGCTGCCCCTCCCCCTCCCCCACAGCCTGAGCAGCTGAGGTAAAACCGCGCGCCAAAGAGGGCGCCCGCAGAGCCCGCGCGGAACGTAAACAGAGCCCAGGAAACACATGGCTGCCGGCGCTGCTTCTTCTGCTGGTGGTCTCGCGCCTTCAGCAGCTCGGCAACTCCGCCGCCTCCCGGCCTCTCGCTGCCTCCTCAGTCAGTCAGCTTCAGCCACTGCAGGAGCTGCTCCTGGCGGCAGAGGCTAGAGAGGACTGCTAACAGTTGGGCAATATCAAGCAGCGTCTTCCCCGGCCACGGTCGCCACCTGCGCGCAGCGGCGGCGGCGGCGAGGCGCGTGGGGCTTAGAGAGCAGCGGCCGCTCCCCCCCCCCCCCCGCCGCCCGCCCCTCAGGCGCTTTCCCGCCTTCCTCTTCCTCCCTCCTCAGTCAGCAGCGGCGGCAGCAGCAGCGGCACCCTCCCCCTCCCTCCCTCTCGGCCAGGCCAGGCGGCGCGCAGGTGGCGAAGCTCGAGGCTGAGGGGCACGCTGGCGGCCACCGGCGCCAAGAGAGCTCGGGGCTGCCCTCGCCGTTTCCCGCCGGCCATGGCCCCCCGCCGCTGTGGCTGTGGCATCCGCCTGCTGCTGCGCCCGGTCGTCGTCCTGCTGCTGCTGCTGCTGCTGCTGGGCGCCTCGGCCTCGGCGGGGGCGGCCCCGCCGTGCCCCTCCTCGCCGCCCAGCGTGGACTCGGTGCAGGGGCTGGCCCGGCGCGCCTCCGTGGTGATCGAGGGCAAGGTGCTAGCTCACAGCGTGGTGGAGCCAGGAGGAGGCGGAGGCGGCGGCGGCGACGGAGGAGGAGGGGAAGAAGCGACGTCGCTGTTGCTGCTGCTGCCGTCGCCGCCGCCGCCGCTCCTCACCCTGCCGGAGCAGCAGCAGCAGCAGCAGCAGCCGACCGCCGCCTCTGCTTCCAGCACCACCTTCTCAGGGACAGTCCCCTCGCCAGCTCCCCGCGCGCTGGTGCCCAGCCCCAGCCCGCCGCCCGTCTCCTGGGTGACTCGGGTGCGCGTGCACCAGGTGTGGCCGGCCAAAAGCGGCGGGCTGCGCAAGGACGGGCTGCTGTGGGTGCTGCTGGCCGAGCGCGGCTCCGCCTGCGGGAGCAGCCTCAAGGAAGAGAGCCGCTACATCTTCTTCATGGAGCCCGTCAACGGCACTGGGGCGCCTTCGCTGCTGCTGCCGTCGCCTTCGCCGCTCTTCCGGGCGTCTTCCCCGCCCCTGGAGACGGGCAGGAGTCTCAAGAAGGAGGTCAGCAGGGCGCTGTGTACCCGGGGATGTGGTAAGTCAGCTGGCTGGCCAGGGGTGTCCGAGGAGCGGTGCCTGCGCTGGGCTGGCCCGCATCCGCTTTGCGGGGCAGGTGGGGGGATGAAGGTGGGGAGAAGGATGAGGTTGGTTGGTTCTTCGTTCCTTCGCTGCTCGCCCTCTTTCTTGCCACCTCCGTCCCCGAGGTGTGGGACTTGTGGCCCGCTCTGGATCTTTCCTCTTTGGAGCGATTTGCAGGTGGATGTGGATCGTAGGTCGTTCAAGTTGGGTGCCAACCATGGGTGGGAAACTTTGCGAAAGCTCCCTCTCTTATACACACAGCAACAAGCAGGCTACGAGTTTGGGGTTGTGGAGAGTGGGTATATTACTGCAACAGAATGGAGCCCTTATCTCTCCTGCCGATTTATTTTTTAGTTAGTTTGCTAAGAGAAGGCTGCATTTCAGGCCATCAAGAAAGAGGAAGGGAACTGGAAGGCTGCTTGGTGCGGGGCAGGGTGTCTTTACTTCACCTGAATAAAGGCCTTGGCTGTTTGTTTGTCTGTGTTTGCTTTCTTAGAAGGAGGAAAGTGCTTGGTGGGGTGATGCTTGCCAACCCTTGTTTACGTTGGTATGTTGTTGGATGTGTAACTTTAGATGAAGCTGTAGGCTTTTGAAGCAGAACGAAGGAAGAATTTGGTTGCATGTTGTATCTGGAAAGGTTGCTCTTTGGTTGTGGCGAATACTTCCTTGCCTGGATCTCCTTTGGCATATGGGATTGGATATGTATTGTAAATAAATCCAGCAGGGCCCAGTCGTTTTTCAACTGCTCAAGTTGTGTCCGCCCTTAAAGTCTTCTGATGCCTCCAAAATCATTTCCCTCAACAAAAGAAGCAATTGCTCTCTCTCTCAGCTTCTGGAATTTCAGTGGCTGCCAAATGTTAACAGTCCTCTAGATGTAATTCTGCCCTCCCATTTCTAGATGTGTTAGTACTCATGAGAGCCACTGGATTTTTAACTGGGTTGTTTGCAAATGCAGTGCCCTGTCTTGTTTTATAGCACCTGAAATTCAGTCTGTCAGCTCTTGTTAACGTGAGGGTTTCAAGATGATTTTGTTTTGTGGCTGGGAGAACGTAAATGGTTGTTGGAGGCAGAGCTGCTGAGGCTGACCAACCAAATCCATGAATCCTGGTGATCCTTTTCTTTTTGTGTACTTTCACCTCAACTCAATCGGTTTCTGTTTTCCTGTTTGTTTAATTCGTAATTGTTACCATAATCATTTCGGCATTTTCTAGCTACCCTGTGCCAAATTACTTCAGAATGGCTGCAGAAGGGAGCTGTCCACATTAAACAGTGCTGATGTTGAGTGAATGACGTCGGGATTCCCCAGGACTGGCGGATAGATGTCACTGTAAAACAAGGGAAATACTCTGCGGGGACCTGACATATTGGCTGATATAAAAGCTGAACATTTTTCTACATCAGGTTGTTTTTTCTTATGGTGCAGTGAGGAAAGAACGTGTCTTTATCAATCCTTTGTAGTAAGGTTTTTGGTGTGATTAAACAAGATACAACAATGGATTGGGCTGCTGCAAACAAAACTGGACACTGGCATAATATGAATTAAGTGTGGGGGAAGAATTGTGGGAGTATTAGAATCCTGTTTATTCTTGTCTATTCCAAAACATTGCCATACATCTCACAGGTGTGTTAACATTAATAAAGCTTCTGCTTTTCCTGTGACTTTCATTCATAACAGTTTTGAGGCTCCTGTGATCTGCAAGCTAACTTGAAATATATATTCCATTACATGTAGGATACAGTGTTGTTGTTGAGACACACACACACACACACACACACACACGTGTGTGTGTTTAAAAATCTGAATACTTCAGTAGTTGAGGCATTCTATGGAAAATGAGGAAATATGCAAAGGCGAGTTAACGTAAAAGAGTTAACCAGAGTGGAATGTTTTTGTTCCCTTTTTCCTGCTGTGGACTTGAAGTATGCAAATGAACATATACAGCATGATTGAGTTTCTTCTCAGCTTGAAATGTGAAAACATAAAGATGGCAATTTCTCTCTTTTTTTGCAGAACTTGAATTTTAAAATGTAGGTTGTGGTGTTGGTTAATTGTGTGTATCTGCTGTTGATTAAGTAATAAAATGTGAATAACACCCCTTGCTGAGGTATGGGGGGGACGGGACTCTCAGCAGATTTTTGCCTTAACCATATTGAGTTTAGCCATTCCCAGAAAAATTAATGAGAGAATGGATGGTGTCTCATTGCTGACGTCTCAGTTCCCATCTTTCTGTCAATAGATTGATGCTTGTTTATGTATTTAAAATATTTACTATTTATCTAAGGCAGTTACTGACTCAGGATTACTGCCTCCTTTCATCTTAAGATAGGATTCCACCCCTTTTGCTTAGTCTGTAATAAACTGAATTTACCCTGCTGCTGTGACTTCTCAGCATCTGACAGCCTTTGACTTCCATAAAAGTCAAACCTGGTGAGCTCCAAATGCTCTAGACACTGCAGTGAGGCCCTAAACGTTTGGTTTTTTTTCAAGTCAAGGACTAGGGTAAACCATATGTTATAACAGTATTTAGTGAATAATGGTGGAGAAGTGTTAAATGGAATATCAGATGGCATTAAAATCTCTGGCTTCAAACTCAGCAGTTCAGTTCTAATACCATGCTGAATCATGACTAATGGAAGTTTAACTACAGTTTAGTGTGATGCCTGAACAGATAAACCATGGATTGCTATTGATCAGCAGTTCAGAATCAGAAACAATGTTTAAAATAGGCTTGTAAATTATTGCTTGTACTAATTATGATGTGTGAATTAACAGAAGATAGAGACAGCCATCATGCTGCCTTTGGAGGCCACTGCATCTAGTGATTGGTGTGCTGAGCACACGTAAAATTAAAGCTGATGAATAACTGTAACCATGTTTTGCTTGCACATTGGGAAGCTGTAACCATGGTTTGCTTGCATATTGGGAAGCTGTAACCATAGTTTGAGTTTTAATCTATATTTAGCTGTGAGGTCTGTCAGAATAGATTCACTATATGATTAGTGGTTGATATGGTTTGTCAGGGTGTATTAACTATGGAGAACATCCATTACCATATATTCAAAAGGCCAACTTCTGAATCTAGATAACTAGGTCTCATGCTTGTGAGATTTTATTTATAGATTGATATGTTTTATTTCATCTATCAATCAAGTTCTTAATTTTATGTTGTTGTTTACTTAATTTTGAAAGGAATGAATCCTTTCTCTTTATAAGTGTACTTTTTAATAGCAACCTTCTCCCCCCACCATACATTAAATATAGAGGATTCCCCCCCACACACACTTCCCAGTTCAGGATTGTAGGAGAAAACTGGTTTTTGACTTCAAGTAAAATCTCACAGAAGAAGGGGTATTATCTCAACCATCACCAAAGTTACCTGCATTTCAGGAGTAATACATAACTCAAAAATAAAGACTGTAAACCTTAATGATGTGATTGCTCCTTACTCAAAATAAGATGTTCTATTGACATCATGGGTTATAGATTATACAGAGATCAAAGCAGTCAGATAAAGCTCTTTTTTCATGCTGCGGTAAAACTTACACAAGCTGCCTAATGAAGGAGAAGCTGTTTATCTGCCTGTTTTGTAATGTACAAATGATTAGTTGTGTGCACCCTTACTCTCTCATTAGTTGCATAAAGTCCACACTATATAAATTATATGCTTCCAATATCAGAGATGCTGCCAGCTACCATACATTCTCCACACAGTGCATATTTTACTACGATTCTTCTCTAACACTAGCAGCAGCTGGTCAAGCTAGAGGAAAATGCCAGCCATTTCTGGGGGGGCAATCAGTTATGGGGGAGGGAGGGATGTCAATTCCTTCATCTATTGGTTGGTAATCATTAGGATTTGGCATTGAAAGCAGGTGGTGGGCATTGCAGCCATGTGCAAGTGTAAGATTGTTGATTGGTCCCTTGCCCACACTGATATAGCAAGTTTGGGGGTGGCTAGCCCATCAACATTAGTGTAGTTACCCAGTGCTGGCAGAAGTGCCTTTTGTCTCCATTGCCACCTTCCAACAGTTACTGGTAAATGTGGGCATTCTCCTCCCCATCTTGATCACTTGATAGCTGCATCTAGCAGTTCGTTAGGGCTTTATTGGCCAACGCTGACTACCACCCTAAAAGAAAACCAATACCGAAGTGCTAGAATTCTGGACTGTACTACATTAGACTATACATGTCTCTCTCTGTGTGTGATATTTCCTGAAAGTTCAGATATATAGGGTGAGTCCTTTAAAAGAGACCCTGTGGCTACAGAGTACACATGTTCCACAGGGCCTCTTTTAAAAGACTCACCCTGTAAAAAGCTCACTCTGCGTAATAAACCAGGGATCAGACAATACCAAACCCTTTTCTCTGATGTATTAGCATAGATGTGTGGAGGGTTTTTTTGGTCTGTGGAGAAGCATTCAGAAGCATGTCTTCCTCACCTGCAATCTGAAGTGTTATGGCTGAGAAGTAGTACCATTTCAGTCTGCATAATTTGTGGATCAGCTGTTACTGCACACCACTATACACAGATGTTTAACATATCCCTTGATTATCTGTTTCATACAGATGGGGTATGCAGTGTAGCTTCCTAGTCCCTGTGGATCGCTCCCGTTCCTTTGTCCTACATACATTCCAGTGCCTTCTACTTGGGTCCTTTTTAAGAAAAAACGGGCAGGGGAATGCCATGCAGTTGATTACAGGGGACCATCTGGCCCAGGGTTTGTTTGATTGGACTCTAAATGGGCCAAGAAACATCTGTGTACTTCTTTCTTGAATCGTGCAAAGCAGCCTTAAGTCCAGCCAAAATTAAAGTTGGCGTCTTCTTTCTGTACTACGTGTTTTGATTTGGCCTGCAGGAGAAGATTAATAAATAGCATGCATGAACTTGCTTTGTGTTCATATGTATCAGGTATTTGGAGAACTGATTCCCTTTGTACCTATTGATCTGCTGTTTT